TTAGATCGAACGGTAGAGATTCGATCTGACACTTGAAAAGACTCAAATACCTTAGATGATCAAACGACTTTGACTCATCTTGAGACGATTGGACGTTGAGGGTCGTGTCGATAAAAAAGGAAATTCCAATCGGGTTTCCCCTCATTCGAAGGAGTCTCGAAATTGAAGAGAGAGGGAAGAGAGAGCGTTGACGGTCGAGCAAGGGAAAGAGGTGAAGAGAGAAAAAGTGACCAGAAGAGGAAGAGGAAATGTCGCGGAAGCCGAAGGCCAGAAGAAGAAGGGAGAAGGGAAGCGTGATCGTGACCGCTCGAGTCATCGAACACCGGTTTCGATAATCCCTCTTATGTGATTTTTGTTATAGGTTCGACGAGACCGAGTCATCGACAAGATGCAGGAGCCGCGATTTCGAGCTAGCGCCCGCCTATTCGATAAGTCGAGAGGTTTTTTATTGGGTATCGAAGCTCGATACTCCCAGGTTGAACCAGAGATTGTAGGGGAGCTGACCGCTTACCCTGACGCGGTGAGCCACTAGTTCTCGTTGGGTTGTTGCAGGAATCCGTGACTCCGGTCGAGTTTTATCCTAGTTTAATGTTTAATTTGAATTAATTAATTTGTGTCGTGTGTGTGTACAGTGAAATCGGAGCGTCTCAGGCAAATTCAGAAAGGTCCTTAGCACGAGGGATTTTGTAAGCATCCCTTCATTCTAAGCCTGGGTTTGGGACTTAGATTTCCATGCATGATTTTATTAATTTGGTTGCTTGAAATTAGAACAGGTACAGAAAACTGAGAAGAACAGGAACTCGAACATTGTCCGGGTAGTGTGAACCTGCCAGGATGGAGTTTAGGACATTTGATCTTTGATGCTTCCATGCCTTTATTCCTGTTTCCTTGATGATTTTGTGACTGCATAGTTGTTAATGTGACCTACTTGAAAAGAATTAGAGATTCGAGGACCGGGACAAGAACAATTTAAAATTATAAATTAAAATTGATAAAATTTTAAGAAATAAGTGATTAGAGTTGGAAAGGGAAAAATAAAATGCACTAATTAAAAATTAAGTAAAAACAATAAAGAAAATAAAACTTATAGGGAAACCGGTAAATAAGAAAAAGATTACAAGGGTGGATTTGATTATAATGAATAAATGAAATGAAAATTAAAAGAATTGAGGGAATACTACATGAATTAGGCGAGTTTAATTGAATAAGGGAATTAAAAGTAAAGGAATTTGATATAAGTGTAGAATTTATGAACCTCACTTGTTTAGTTGGAATCGAGAAAGAGAGAGTGTGTGTGTGAGTGAAATTTAACGGGTATTATGGTGAAGTTGTACATGCAAAGATACGTAAAACCTAGTCTTGTGGTGGATAGGTGATTGTGAGTGTTTGAGTCACTTAGCAAAGTACTATTGTGGCGTAATGTGAGTTGTGTTTGTACTATCCATGCAATGATAGAATCTTTTTCGTCTTTAATCGATAACGATCTAAACGACATTATACAATGAAACTTTAGATATGATATCTTGAGTGTAGATATTATATCCAAATGAAGTTGTGATTTTTCGAGTATAGATGTGATATTTGAGTGTGGGTGTGATATTTGAGTGTAGAGATGATATTCGAATGAAATGCGTTGAACTTTCAAATAAAAATTAGTTGTTAACGATAAGTGAATTATTAAATGTAAAAAATTGTAAAATTAAAAGTATTATGAAAAACTATAAAGAATTTCTGTTTTGATATATTTTAATATTGTATTTATTACATGTATGCATGTGTTTGTATGATGTTTGATTTGAGTATTAAAATAATGAGAATATTTACTAAGTTGGTGAAACTTACTAAATTTCACAATGATAATTTACATATAAGATGAACCCGGAGCAAGTGACGGACGAGTGAACGACACGTGAGGGTGCCGTGATAAGTGTATACTCTGTTTTATTCTGGTTATCGTATTGTTTTGTTAAACTTAACGTTTGAACCTCATGTTCTGTATATATAATTGTTGCATATATCACAAGCGATGTTTTATTTTATTTTAAACTTTAGGGCTGCGCATATGGATGTTATGTGGGTCCTACTAGTTGAGAATAGTATAAGTGCGTATGTGCCTCGTTATTGGGGTTTGAGGCATTATACATAGTATTAGAGCCCACATTTCTAAGGAGATTTCTTGTGCATGAGGTTTTAGAGTTTAAATATAACTATCTACGATTTTAAGAATACTAAACAATTATGAAAGTTTATTAGGAATGTTTTAGACCATGAAGTGGTTTCCCACGCCTCATTATAGTAACCTACATCAAGAAAAGAAATGAGACCACATGGGAGGAGTTTGACCGACTATACCATATGGTTGAAAGGATGGCCACTGGCAATCAACTTAGAGAGTGACCTAGAGAGGATAGAGCAGAAGTACCTGAACCTAACTGACCACCACCCCAGCATGATCCAAAACCATCACTTAGATTCAAGGTGCATATAAAGGTTCAAGAGACTCATTCATCCAACTTTTGTCGTTTTAAAAAATTTCATCGTGGCAGAGGGTTGGTTATAGGCAACAGAAGATGTCTTCAAAGTTTTAGGTGTGACCATTGAACAGAAGGTGATTCTTGCCACATATTTATTCGAGGGTGAAGCTGAGCATTGGCGGGAGCTCAAGTAGTCCACTTTATATGCTCCCATCACCTAGGAGTGGTTTTTGGAGGCGTTCAATATTGAGTATTTCCCTACGCATATTCTATCAGAAAGAGATAGAGTTTATACAGCTGAGTTAAGAGAACCTGCTAATAGATGAGTATGCTCGGAGGTTTATTAAGCTGAGTCACTACTCCCTAGAGATTATGGCTAATGAGGGTTAGAGGCCAAGGTAGTTTCAGTGGGGACTATGCCTGGAGATTCAGGATCAACTTGTAGTTCTTAGCTCAATACATATCAGAAGTCTTGACTAAGGCAAATATAATAGAAGCATACTCAGAGATTCATCATCAAGAGCAGCAGTTCGAGGCCTTCTGTAGCTCCAAGAAGGTCGACCCTAGTTTTTGACCCACAAGTTAAGAGGCTTTGGTGAAAACAACACCACCTCCCAAACCCCTAGCAGTAGCGGATGGATACCAACATGTCTCAATTGCGAGAAGAATCATGGCAACCAGTTGTGTCATCACTCCACTCGGTCTTGTTTCAAATGCAGGAGTCAACAACACATGATCCACAATTGTTCGCTCATGAAGAGAGAGACCAAAGCTCCATTACAGGGGCGAGTGTATGCCATTACCGCATCTAATGCTGAAGCAAATCCTAACGTCATCCAATATATGAATCTCGTCCCTAAAAAATTGGCTAAAGTATTTACAAATCCTAGTTTTACATATTCATTTGTGTTACATATTTTTACATCACGATTGAGTGTTATGCGTATTTCTTTAGAAAGTATTTTAATGATATCACACAGTTCTAGACTCACCTACATTTAGGTAACATGAAGATGTATCATAACTTGGAATCCCGGTATTGGTGGAATGGAGTAAAGAAAGACATTTATGAGTTTGTTAATAAGTGCCTCACATGTCAGCATATCAAGGTTAAGCATCAGAAACTAGGTAGATTGCTCCGACCTTTACCAATCTCAGAGTAGAAATGAGAGCAAATTGATGTGTCGTTCTTTTTAATCTTAATTTGAATATATTGATTTCTTAAATTTATAATAAATTTTAAATGTATTTTGAGTTAAAAATTAATTTGTGAGTTAAATTTTTTATACAGGTTGTATTGCTAAATAAAAGAGGAAAAAGATTCTGAAGAGAAAATAAGAAAAGAAAAAGAAGGCCAAAAAGCCATATTTGGAGCACCCAGGCCCAAATCCATTTAAACTAGCTCATGCCCTCTAAAATGATATCGTTTTGAGAGCTGGGGAGCAGAGCAGAACCCAACAATGATCAAAACGTTGTTGTTTTGAAAGAAAAAAAAAAAAAACAACAACGAATCAGTGGGAGGGGGAAGAAAGGATGTTGAAAAGGAAAATAGGAGGTGAGAAAACCTGAGCTCCTCTCCTCCTTTCGCCTATAAAAAACATATCTGAAAAAGAGAAAAAAAAAAAAAAGAAGGCAATCAGTGGGTGAAGCAGAAAAGGAAAAACTTGCAGAGAGAGACGGGAGCTAGAGGGAGAAAGTTTGGCGCTAGAGGGAATTGGTGGAACAAGGGATGGTGACGCAGAAACTGAGCGTGACCCGAAGCGATATGGTGGAAGACATAATTGGATCGAACTGATTTATGATGGGGAAGCTGAAGCTGAAGCAGAAGCAATCGTAAAGAGCTTAGAGGGAGAAACTGAGAAAAATATTCAAGTAATTAATTTTTTAGTTTTTAATTTGCATTGTTTTGAGATAAAAGCTTCAAGAATTTTTATGACACTTGAATGCTAGTATTTGGAATTGTTGGGAATTTATTTGGTGAATATTATATAACTATTTTTCTCTCAAATATAATTTTTGTTGCTTAATCTACCATGTCTGGCAAAATTTTCTTTGTTATAGTAATTTAGGCAGCCTGAACCAAAAGTAATTTGTGATTTGATTTTTAGCGTTTTTCTTGCTGTAATTTCATGGTATTGAACTTAATTCAGTTGTGCGAATTGGTCAACTCATAGCTTTATATGTGATTGATGGTTTAGAGTAATTGGAGTGAAATTCTATTAATTAGATATATTCTGCTAAGTGTTAATAGCGAATTGAACATGAGTAATATAGTGAAATTAACTTGGATTAATCGAATTATTATATATTTGATTGAATCAAATTAATAATTATTATAAAAAGTTAACAGTTGTTAATTGATAGATTTAGGGAATACTAAAAATGAAATCGAAACTACATTAGAATAGTTCGACCATTGCAAACTACATTAAATCGATTGTGAAATTAAAACGTGAATAGATATAAGATTAAGGTGAAATCAATTACACTTGTGTGTTGCTGCTGATAAATTTTTCTCATTTTAATTATTTTGCTTTGATTAAATTATTTTAAGATTTTTCCTTTACAAATTTAACTTCGATTGCTAGATAATAATAAAACTTCTATAATTTTGGTACTTATACGATCTATATGAGATGATACTCTACTTATCATTTTATTACTTAAACAATTTCGTGCACTTGTGAATTCGCCCACCACACATCACTACGAACTTTGTGATCACACTATCTAAGACCAGATCGAATCATGATACCATTTAATCATAGTTAATAAACTGAAAAATTCAACCCATTTTATGCAAATAAAGGCTATTGACCCTATGGACAAGCTTAACAAGTTGTGTTAAAGAGATGATTAAACTCCATCACATTCCAGTGTTAGTAGTTTCATCTCTAGATTCTGTTGGAGTCTTCATCAAGCTCTAAATATTACATTGTCATTTAGTATAACATTTCATCCACAAACTGATGACTAATAAGAGAGAATCATTTAGACCTTAGAAGACATGCTTCAGGCTAATATAATAGAGATGAGAGAGAATCGAGATGATCATCTTCCATTGATAAAATTTTCCTATAACCACAATTATCAATTCAGTATTGGTATGACTCTATATGAAGGATTTTATGGTAGACCTTGTAGATCTCCAATATACTAGAAAGAGAGTAGGGACAAGAAATTGATTGGACTAGAATTTGTCGAAGAAACTACATCAAAGATTGTCCTAATCATAAAGAATCTTCAGACAACACATAATAGGCAGAAAAATTATGCGAACGATCGTAGAAAAGGTTTGGAGTTTGAGACAAGTGATAATGTGTTCCTAAAGGTATCACTAATAAAGGGCATTATAAGATTCGGAAAAAAAGTCAATTGAGTCATCGCTTCATTAGACTATTCGAAATATTAGACAGAGTGGGAACCACTGGCTATAGGCGAGCATTGCCACCGGAGTTAGCCAATATTCATGATGTTTTTCACGTTTCAATGTTATATAAATATCACTTAGATTCATCTCATGTGCGTCAGCAAGAAGAGTTTCCTATTGAAAAGTGAAAACAAAATGGGAGAGAGAGCACCTTCTGTAATTAGTGCTGGTTGTATTTCTCTGCCGTTGAGTAAATTGATGTACACCATTTATATACAGGAGAGAGGAAAATCCTAACTAATTAAAAACAAATTACCATTTTAGATTCTGCTAAAATGTTACAGCTGTGATAACAACCTGGCTACTTTAATTGTTTGAATCTGGACCCTTCATTTTCTACTTTTGATCTTCACCGTCCATTCATTTCAACCCTTATCCTTTAACGTTGTTACAGCCGCCCCTCAAGATGGAACACACTTGCTGTCTCTTGTAACTCTTTTCGGTTATACTCGCATACTCGAATTTGTCATCTGTAAGTGTTTCATCTTGACGATGATGGGCTGCTATGCCTAGTGGCTTTATGAGCAGATCTGCGAGTTATTTTTTCGAGGTAACATGGTTTATTTTGATAAAACAACTTAGGACTTGATTACGAACTATGTGGCAATATATGTCTAGATGTTTTGTTCGCTCATGAAACACCGGATTTGCAGCGATATATTCTGCGGCATTGTTGTCGTAGTTTAGTACGATGGGCAAGGAAGGCGTGATCATGAAGTCCTTGAACATATAAGTGATCCATTGTAGCTCACACACTGTCGAAGACATGCCTCTGTATTCGGCTTTTGCAGATGATTTACTAACTGTTGTTTGTTTCTTTGTTTTCTAGGATATCATTGATGTCCCAAGGAAGATGCAAAAACCTGTGAGAGACTTGCGAGTCGTTGGACATGAAGCCCAATCCGAGTCACAAAAAGCTTGGATTTTGAAGTTATTTTCGGCTGGAAAAAACAAACCTTGCTCGGGGTACTGTTTTAAGTATTTGACGAGGTGAAGTGTAGCGTCAAAGTGCAGCTTTCTGGGTTGTTGCATGTACTGACTTAAATGCTAGGTGGAGTAACATATGTCTGGTCTGGTAAAATTGAGGTAGAGCAGCCGTCCAATCAAGCGTCTGTATTTTTCTGGATTCGGTAAGATCTCACCCTCTTCTGTGTTTAATTTCAATCCAGTTGGTAAAGGAAAATGATTCCCTTTCGCCTCTTGCATGTCTGTATCTAGTAAGATATCTTTAATATATTTTCTTTGACTGATGTAAATTCTCCCTTTCGATCTGGCTATTTCAACTCCGAGAAAATACCGCGCTTGTCCCAAATCCCTCCCCGTGAATGCCTCATCCAACACTTTTTTTACTTTGCTGATTCCTATTTCGTCTTGCCCAATAATTAGTAGATCATCCACGTATACAATTATCGCAATGTAGTTTTCTGCCCTCCCTTTTGTAAATAGGCAATGATCTGCTTCAGATTTAGTAAAGCCAATAAAATTGAGCTTTAAAGTGAGCTTTTTGTTCCATTGACGTCCAGCCTACTTTAGCCCATACAGGCTCTTAGTTAGACGACAAACTTGGTCTTTACCTCCTTTAGTGTAGCCATTTGAAGGTTTTAAATATAACTCTTCTTCAATGTAACCATGTAAATAGGCGTTGTTTACATCCAATTGGTGGATAGGCCAATCTTTAGCGGCTGCTATGGCGAGGAGTTGCCGAATAGTTACCATTTTGGCTACTGGCGAAAAATTGTCATGGTAGTCGACACCAAATCCCTGGTTGTAACCCTTGGCAACAAGTCGCCTTGTATTTATCCACAGTTCCATCTGTGTTGTACTTAATTTTGTACACCCATTTTGAGTCCCTTGTTTTTTTTCCTTTTGGCAGCAAAGTTAGTTCCCATGTGTTGTTATTTTCTAAGGCATTTAATTCAGAATGCATAGCATCAACCCACCTACTGTCCTCCTTAGCTACCTTGTAAGATTTTGGTTCTTGTATAACCGAAACATGTGCAACAAAATTGACATAGCCATGATTATGATTATATGCAGGTGGGTTGGACATAAAAGAAGGAAGGTGTGTTGATGGTGTTTCGGTTATGTGTGCAATAAAATCCTCCATCCAAGAAGGTCTGTTTCTCACCCTGGTGCTCCTCCTAATTTTGGGTTCTTGAAATTCTGGTTCACGTAGGTCAACCTCTCTGTTGTTGTTTTCGTCCATGTCTGAAATGGTTATGTTAGGAATTGGTAATGGTGTGTCTTGGTGATCAGTTCGTGGCGATTGTATTTAATATAGGTAAACATGTTCATGAAATATAAAATCCCTTGACAGAATTTTTTTTTTGTTAAAAACATCATATAATTTGTATGCCTTGACACCCACTTCATAACCCAAAAAAATGCATTTTATAGCTCGTGCATCAAATTTTGTTTTCTGATGATAAACATTTGTAGCAAAACATAAGCAACCGAATGTTTTTAAAAATGAGTAATCGGATTGTTTTTTATATAAAATTTCATGAGGAGTTTCCATCTTAAAATTGAGCTTGACAAAATATTTATTGTATGTGTGGCCATAAGTATGGATTCTCCCTAAAATCTTTTTGGCAAATTGGATTCAAACATTAGTGCTCTAGCGACTTGTAAAAGATGCTTATGCTTCCTTTCTACCACACCGTTTTGTTGTGGTGTATAAACACAAGTTTTGTGATGCACAATACCTTTCTCTTGAAAATTTTTTTTGCATGAGCTATTTATAAATTCAGTGCCATTATCAGTTGGAATAACTTTAATTGTTTTTTGAAACTGATTGGATACAAAATTGCAAAATTGTTTCAAAACATTTGACACATTTTATTTTCGTTCAGCAAAAAAGTCCAAGTCGTTCTAGAAAAATCATCCACCATAGTTAACACATAAGAAGCTCCCGAAATAGATTGAACTAGATAAGGACCCCAAAGGTCAGCATATATTAATTTAAAAGTATCATTAGTAGTAATATTACTTTTAGGAAAAGGTAAACGTTGTTGTTTTGCCAAGGGACATACTTCACAAACATGTAAATCCATTTTGCTTGGAAGATTTAGGGTGGGAATATGAAGTAACTTGTTCATTGAGGTATGACCGAGTCTTTTATGCCAAAGTTGCAGGGTGTTTGCTTGAGTGTGACTGGTGCATGCTTTTTCTGGTTCTGTATCTCTACTCAAGGTGTACATACCTTCCTTTATTGTTCCATTTTTTAATTTTCTGTTAGTCATCAAATCCTGCACAAAACAGTAGTTTGGATAGAAAGAAACATAAGTATTTAAGGCTTGAGTTAATTTTCTGACAGATATCAGGTTACATGCAAATTTTGGTATGTAAAGAACATCGTGTAAGGTTAGATCATTGCATAGATTTATGGTACCTTTATGTGTTGAGTACCTTAGAGTTCCATCGGGTAAAGAGACAGAGATTGTGGGTTCTAGTTTAATGGTTTTAGTGAACAGACTAAAATCATGGCATATGTGTGATGCTGCGCCTGTGTCGATTACCCAAGTTCCTACATCATTTGAGGTATGTAAAGAGTAGTAATTAGATTGTTTACCTGCAGGGCCAGAGTAGCCCAGACATCCTGCTGATTCCATTGTGTTTGCTGCTGATTTTTCATGTATTTGTTGATTTCCTGCTGTATAATATTAGTCATTTCTTCATTTCAGCTTGTTGAGACTGGTGTTTTGCCCTTGATATTGCTAGAAATCTCATCTGAAACAACATTCACTCTTTCTTTGCCTTTTCTTCCCTTAAGTTCTGTGAACCATTCCGGGTAACCATGAAGTTTGAAACAAGTTTCTCTTGTGTGTCCTGTGTTTTTGCAATAGGTGCATATCCTGTTGTCTTTGTCCTTTCCCCGATTATGTGGTCTTGAACTATCTTTTGGATTAGTGTAAAAAACAGCGGGCATTTCTTCAGTTACATTATTGATTTGCTCTTCTCTTTGCTTCTCAACACTGAGTACCATTGAGTAGGGTTTGTTAACAATAGGTAATGGTTTTATAATTAATAGTTGGTTTCTCATATTATCATATGAGTCATTCAGACCTATCAAGAATTGAATCAAGTTGTCTGTGTTGTCAATCTCATTACGCAGGGCAATCACATTGCAATTACACGAAGGTGATGGTCTCAAATAACTCAGTTCATCCCAAAAGTTTTTTAATTTTGTAAAATAAGCCACAATAGAAAGATTTGACTGAGTGATTGAACTAATTTCTCGCTTTAATTGATACAGAAGAGGGCCATTGCTTTCTCCATACTTTTCTTTAATTTCATCCCATAGATTTTTTGCAGATGTGGTGTACAGGAAGGCGCTGGCCAGTTCCTTGGTCGTCGAATTGAGGATCTAGGACACCACCATACTGTCTGCTTTGTGCCAACGTTCATATGCTACTGTGTTGGGAGCTGGTTTCTCGAATCTGCCATCAACAAGCGCTAACTTATCTTTAGCTCTTAGAGCGATCATCATGGCACGACTCCAAGAGAGGTAATTAGAACCATCAAGAGTGACAATAACTAGTTGCATTCCGAGCTGATATGAGTTTTAGAGGGTTAGCATATCAGTAGTAGGATTCGGGTTCTCCATCATAAGAGTTGATTATCAAATACTTAGCAATAAGAATGTAGTAAGTAGGGAAAGTGACAATGCTTAATACAGGCACAGCTCGGATACCATGAAAACAAAATGGGAGAGAGAACACCTTCTGTAATTAGTGCTGGTTGTATTTTTCTGCTATTGAGTAAATTGATGTACACCATTTATATACAGGAGAGAGAAAAAACCTAATTAATTAAAAACAAATTACTATTCTAAACTATTCTAGATTCTGCCAAAATGTTACAGCTGTGATAACAACTTGGCTACTTCAATTGCTTGAATCTGGACCCTTCATTTTCTACTTTTGATCTTCACCGTCCATTCATTTCAACCCTTGTCCTTTAACATTGTTACAAAAAGGAATTGTCTTATGAAGAAATATTAGTGGGCATACTGGATAGACAAGAACGAGTAATAAGGAATAAGACTATCCCTATAGTTGAAGTGCTTTAGCAACGTCACTCTTAAGAAAAGGCTACTTGGGAATCTGAAGAATTGATATGGACACAATATCCTCATTTACTTTAAATTTTGTACTCAATTTGAAGGAGCAAATTTTTGTAAGGGGGAGAAGACAGTAACACCTCACCATAATTAGTCATGTAACTATAAGTAAATAATTGTCGTAGTTAATTAAGTAAATTTTTATAATAGAAAGAAATTAACTTGAACATGAAATTAATAAAAATTAAGGTTGTAATTAGTCGATTGAAAAAAAAATTAAAAATTAGGGGCTTTGTAAAAATAAGAAAAACTTAAATGAATAAATTTTCAAGAAAATAAGGCCAAACTGTAAATACTAGAAATAGGTGGAGGAATGGCAAGAGATGGGAACAGACAACCTGGATTGCACGCTTAGAGGAGGACAATCCAACGGCTCTCAAACGCATATCCAACCTGGCGGTCCAAAGCCATTCCCGCCCAGATCAACGATTGAGATGAAAGGGCAAAACGGATGACTAGATCGCATGCAAATGGATAAGCAGAGTGTATGCAAATGGACGTGCCGAAAAAGGAAAACAAAATGAACGGCCCATATCCATATGGGAATTTAAAATCCAATGACTGAGATCTAGAAAGGGTAAAAAGACTAAATAACCCTTATGAAACGACCATGGTATACGGTAATTAAATCGAATGGGTGAGATTCGATTTGACACCTAAAACGGTCGAAATGATTAACTACCCCGGTTCATCCTGAGATGATCGGACGATGAGGGATGAGGCGATAAAAAGGGTCATTCGAATAATGAGAGTTAAAATTAGAAAGAGAGAGAAGGGAGAGCATCGAGGGTCAAGATGAGGGACAAAGAAGAAGAGAGGAGAAGAGAGAAGAAGTGCAATCAAAGAAAGATATGGAAACATCACAGAAGTCGAAAGTCAGAAGAAGAAGAAGAAGAAGAACGAAGAAGGGAAGCCTGACCGTGACCGCTCAGGTCAGCAAGCCGATTCAAACAATCCCTTTTTTTTATTTTTTGTTGTAGGTTCAACAGGGACGAGCCATCGACAATGCACAGACGGCGGGATTCCGAGCTGGTTGCTCGCTTACTCGATAATCCGAGAGAGGTTTTTCATCGGGTATTAGAGCCCGATACTCCTTGGTTGAACCGAGGATTGTAGGGTAGACAACCACTCGCCCTAAAGCGGTGAGCCGATAGTTCATGTCGGGTTGTTTCGGGAACTCACGACTCCAGTCGAGTTTTAGCCTAGTTTAATATTTAATTTGAATCAATTAATTTCTGTCTGTGTGCGCGCACAGTAAAATTAAGGCATTTTAGGTATATTCAGAAAGGTTCTTGTGCGAGGAATTTTGTAAGTGTCCTTTCAATCTAACCCTATGTTTGGGACTTATATTTCCATGCATGATTTTATTAATTTGGTTACTTGAAATTAGAACAGGTGCAGAAAACTGAGAAGAACAGAAACTGAGACACTTTCTAGGCAGTGTGAACCTACCGGGATGAAGTTCAGAACATTTGATCTATGATGGTTGCATGCGTTTATTCTCGTTTCATTGACGATTGTGTGATTGCATAATTGTTATGTGACCTTATTTGAGGACCCTGACAAGAACAATTTAAAATTATAAAATAAAATTGATAAAATTCAAAGAAATAAGCGATTGGAGTTGGAAAGAGAAAAAATGTATTAATTAAAAATTAAGTAAAAACAATAAAGAAAACAAAACTTATAAGTGAAACCAGTAAATGAGAAAAAGATTGAAGGGTGGACTTGATTATAACGAACAAATAATAGGGAAACTCAAAGAATTGAGAGAATAATAAATTAAATACGTGTTAGGCAAATCTAATTGAATAAGAGAATTTATTTAATTGATAAAAATTGCATCCCTTCTGTTGAGATATTAGTTAATTAAATTTATAGAAAAATAAAAGAATATGGAAGAAAGTGAAGAGGGAAAATTGCTGAAAAAACAAGAGTCTTTGGGAAAGTGTTCAATGACATACATTTTTCTATTAGTTTATATATATATAAAGTGGAGGAAAAAGTTTATAGATTAAGTCACGCTAATCCTACCAACTTTGAAGCATATCATCATTAAATCATAAAAGCATGGAGCTAAACAAAAAATTATGGTGCTCAATTCAGCTTACCACCTAAAGTTGTTAACATAACAAAAAGTAAAAATATATAAGTCTGGAGTTGAAATGACAAAAAAGTTAGCTTATTGTTCCATGAAAAACTCAATCTTTAACACTCATTGTTGAGTTTTCTGTTGAACAAATTAAGTTTAGCTCTCAAATCTTCAAATTTATAATCAGACAGAGCTTTTGTATCAATAACTTGACCATTAGAATTGCAGTACACCAAATGAACATCACCATCCTTCTCAGCTTCACAAAGAAAATGATACTTTATTAGACAATACAAGGCCTTCTTCAACTTGTATACTATGTCAACCTTTCCATCAACTACAAATCCATGAGGTTGTTCAATAAAAAACTCCTCCTGCATAGCAAGCTGCCACTCCTTGTACATCATAGGCTCTTCATAGTTTGTTGGTTTAATGATAGCTAAATTACACCTTTCGTAATCCTCTACCAATAATTTGGTCTTTGTGTTTGGCGTGTCTGCAGAATCAAGTTGAACATTTTCAACAGGAACACTTTGAGAACTTGAAGCTACAACAACTATATCTTCTACGAGCTTCTTTGCTTCAACTTATTTCTTATCCCAATTCCAAAATGTTGATTCATCAATAAGCACATCCTTACTCTTTTACATAAACTTCAAATAGTCAACATTGTCATAAGTAAATCTTTGTTGCTACAAACAAGTCAAATTATCATTGGCAACAAAACATGTTGATTTGTATATTTCAGACCAAGCACATAGCTATTATCATTTTTTTTTATTTTTGCTTCTAGTATATTTGCAGGATTATAAATAAAGCACTAATCATTATTGAACAAAATAGAATAACCCTTATTTTGTATTTGAGCAACACTTAATAAACTTTACTCTAAATCAGGAATAAAAAGTACATCAATTATGAGTTTGATACCTTACTTAATTTGAACTGGTATTGAGTCTTTTCCTTGAGTTTCCACAACTGTCCCATTGCCAAGTTTCACTTTAGTTCTACAATTAACATCCAAGTTACTGAACAACATATGATCCTTGGCCATATGACTTGTGTACTCGTTGTCCACATACCATAAATCACTTCCACTTACACAAGATGCCTTAGTCATCATGAAAAGATGACTTTCCTACTGTTCATGGTTCTCAAAAAAATATTCTTGTTGCTGAAATAGTTACGGTTCTTGTTAAGGTTCATTCTTTTGCTAGGATACTTGATTTTTTCTCTTCCAGCATACCTTTTTTGAATGACTATACTTTTTGCAAATCTTACATTGTACATACTTTCAACACTTATTCTCAGGATTGTTGGATTTACCACAACTTTAACAAAGAGTATACTTTTCTTTTTCTGATGAATTCTTTGAACTCCGTGGCTACTTTCCTTTATTTGTTGATGATTGACCTTCATCTTTTGAAGTTGAGGTCCCAAACTTGTACCTTTACCTTGCTTGAAAAACATTTTCATTGATCTCATCATTACTGATTGAAACTCTCTGCTCCTAAGTCTGTAGCTTATTAATAAGTTCAACAACAATAGATTTATTAAGATCACAAAGAGTTTTGATTCAAACCTTTCAGGAAAGCTGATCATCATCTTTTCTACTACTCTTTGATCTTTAAGGTCCTCTCCAAACAATCTGATTTGATTCACCAGATTCATAAATTTGGTATAGTAATTTTCAACACTTTCACATTCTTGCATCTTCATTAGCTCAAACTCCCTCTTTCATATTAATAATTTTATACCACTCACCTTTGTATTTCCAACATATTCCTCTTTCAAATAATCCCAAGATTTCTTTGTTGTTCTAAAACCAATCAACCTTGAAAAAATATCTTATGATAAAACTGAATGGATAATGAATAGAGCTTTGAAATTCTTCATGGAGCCCTCTGCATCTTGACGAATTTGTGTTAATGTAGGATTTTCAAGTAAAGGCATCCTAATATAATCCTCATCTACTGCAGCCCACAAGTCATAAGCAAGCAAATATGATTTCACCCTTGCAGCCCAATAATCATAATTTTCTATTGTGAACACTGGTGGTGCATCTACGTTCACATTCATTGCCTTTTTCTATCAACTTGATGAAGTTTAATTAAAGAACAAGCTTAATTAACTCCTCATAGCCCACAAGAATAGAAGCTCTGATACCACTGTTGGGATATTAGTTAATTAAATTTATGAGAAAATGGAAGAATATGGGAAAAAGTGAAGAGGGAAAAATTATAACACCCTAAACCCAATAATGAGGTGCAAATCTACTCATACCATTATTCCTACAATGGACCCACAAAATATGCATATGCACAGCTCAAAGATTTAACATAAAACATAACATGTGATATATACATTAGTTATATATATAGAACATGATATCAAAATTTAGAGTTTAAAAAAATAAAACAAAAATTTCTAGAATATGAACAAAATATACATGCATTGGAACCATTTTACAAGTTTTACTCATCGAACAACGGTTCTGACTTTTCTTTTTCATTTGAAAAATATTAAGGTGAAATTTAATGAATTTCACCAACTCAATAAGTATTTCAATTCTTCCAAAATCCAGATTAGACATCATGTAAAGACACACAATATATGACAAATGCAGTAGTAATATTTTCAATATAAAATTTATCTATAATTTTCACTATTTTCTAAATTAGAATTTACTTTTTAAACACAACTGTTTCTGACATTATAATTTCACATGTTTCTAATCAGATTTTTCAATTACACTCGAATATCATTTATAGCCTCAAGTATCACCACATACACTCGAAAGAGCATACACACACTTGGAAGGTCATCTATAAGGTTTCAGGATGGTTGTTTTAGGATTCTCAAATGAAAATTTAGAGGACCAAAATTCTAGGAGGAGAGTAGATTCTCACATGAGAGAAATTTTTTCAAGTAACAGAAATTCCTCAAAAGAAATAGGCATCTCCCTAGGTAAAGAAAAACCTCTACTAACAAAAAAAAAAATCCCCAAGTAGAGAGATAAGTGATTTCAATTCCTTGACATATAATTTGGAGGACCAAATTGTTTTAGGGGGGATATTGTAATACTCAAGTGGCATATATATCTATGTGTATATATATATATATATAATTGCAACATATATATAACGGGACAAAAGAAAAAAAAAAAGGAGGAACATCCAACTGATACAAAAAAAATAAAAATGAAATATATATATATGTATAAATATATACACACATATAAGTAAAAAAAAAAAAAGAGAATTAGGGAAAAAAAAAGAATCCAGAGGTGCACTCTGGGAGTAAAAGAAGGAAACACATAACCATAATATATATATGTATATATAAGTAATGAAAAAATAGAAAAAGAAAGAAAGAAAAAATAATAAAGAAATGAGAGAGCAAGGAGAAAGAGACACTGTGAGAGGAGAGGAAGGATTAAGTGTCTTTGACGGCCGAGAGAGAAGGGTCGCGCGGTATTGTACGACATCGTAATCGAAGGAGAAAGAAATAAGAGAGGAATCACCATTGGTTAGAGAGAGAAAAAGAGGAGAAAAAGAGAGAGAAAAGAGACGTAGTGGGGTAGAAAGAGAAAAAAAAAGAAGAAAAAGAAAGGAAAAAGGAAAAAGAAGAAGAAAGAAAAAAAGAAAAGGAAAAGAAGAAAAAGAAGAAGAAGAAAAAAAAAAAAGGAAAACGAAGTAAGATGAGAGGGAAAACCCATGGGGCAGCGGAAGGAAGAAGAAAAGAAAAAAAAAGAAAAAAAAAAGAAAAAAAAAGAGAAAAAAAAAGAAAATGAAGAAAA